TGTACAGTCGTGAACAGAAGTCCTGTCGCCCTTCTGCTCCACGAACCCTGAGATTCAGACTCATGAATCCGAAGCATTTATGGGCAGCATAATGCACCAGTGTTTACTGCTTCGGGTTCATGAGTCTGAATCTCTTGGTTCGCGGAACAGCACAAGGGGCGACAGGACTTCTGTTCACGACTGCATACATTGTTTAGACCCAAATTTCGCCCAGGTCTTCCGTTATTTTTTCCTCGCCTCCAGAAAGTTTGATATTTTGGTGTTCGTTTTAATGGTCTTTGTCACTGTGATAGATTTGAAAACAGGAGAGGGTGTCCTGTTATCCTGTCGTCTCTGGCAGGATATATAGAAATAGTACCCTTTCCTTGTGCGTGTGTGCGCGTCCGTCTGTCTGTCTTTCCTTCCTTCCTTCTTTATGGGCATCTTATGAACGCAATAAATCTAAGTAAACATAGGGATTTTTACTGAAACTTAACCTGTTTATGAAAGCCAACAAGAACTCTGAGGAGTTCGGTAATCAGTTTACTTAAGGCAGTTGTGGTCCTTGTTGTGTGTGACGAAGGTGACCATTGTGTCCTAGAGGTCAGGCTTTGCATTGCTGTTTTGTTTTTTAAATTCTTTTGATAGTTCGGGGACATGCCGTTATTTTTTTCTACTTCTTTAAAAGTGTGTGTCTGGTAGAGGTGCCGTTTGTGTACAATGACGCTTGTTGTACAAGATCTCTTTTCCGTGGCTCCATCACTCCTGTTGAGGACCTCCCCTCTGTGCTAGTGCCCCAGATCCTGTAGGTGCAACACACACAGTGTCCCGTGAATTACTGCTTCCTGTACATTGTAACCATTCTCATAATGGTCCGCATTGGGCGGAACCACCATGTCAGTCCTTCCTCCCATCTGTCACACCTCCGTAGGATTGATTTCCAAACAAGTCTTGAGAACACCTTTATTATTATATTGTGTCGGTACTTTATTGCAGGACCTCATTTATAACGGAGTCCTCGACTCACAGGCTTTGATATTGACTTTAATTGACTACAATATATCATAGCTTCTGCTCCAAGGCTTCGTCTTGATTCCGTTCATGCCGCTAAAGTTCTTCCATCTTAGAAGTGATATCATCCATGTTATTTGATGCTTTTCAAAATTAGTAAGATTACACTAAGGCTTCAGACAAGTTTGATTTTCCCGAGTGTGAGGACCTGTGCGGTTTAGTTATTAATGAAGTTCAACGGGACCGTTCACAAAGCACACGCCTGTACTGTACCTGTACTTCCAAACCGTGGCGTAAAAAATCACGCCGAACGTTCTAGAATTCTTCATATGGCAATGGAGTACTTTAGACGAGCATGAGTTTCCCACGCTTCAGTTGTCTTGCGTCTCTGGAAGGGGATGGAAGTGCCTCTGATTTTTTTTGTCAGAGGTAGGCGAACTGAAGCATGAAAAACACACCCGTATTGAACGCGTGACTTCTGCGCGCGACAAAATCACTCTTGTGAAGCGTGCCTTACAGAGGGAAGAAAATATTGCTTCTTGTTTACAAAATTATGTTGTGTTATGTAAGGTTATAATTGTCCAAAATTAGATAAAAGGCGAGGAGGTGGCAGAGTATCGTGGCTGGTATTGAGTGGCCACAGAATAAGGAAAACGGTTTATAGCAATTCTTTACCATTTACTAATAATGTTTTATGAGCTCGTTGTCGTTGCACGAATATTTTTTGTTATTTCTTGAATTTTTTCTCAATGGCTAGACATTGTTTTGTTATTAAAATTTTTTATAGATATTTTTGTCGTTGCTAAACTTGTGTGTAGGTATATTGACCAGCACAGTATACAGTAGATAGTCTTCATGTTATATATTTTCAATTGCAACCATTACTTGAAGGTGTGTCTCTGTTGAGGTTGTAGCTATGGTAATGGTGGGAACACATTGACCTGAAACAAGCACAAATATTTGCCGAGACAAGTCCTGTGTTCAAAGCTGCTTGACATTTATTTGATTTACGTAAATATATTGAACGGCAATTTTGGTGTAGTTTAACACGCATGATTTACTTGATTTTAATATATCAGAATTGATAACTAAGTGAAGGTTGAAACCGAGGTCAGGCTAGAACAGTGCCCTAGTAGTTGTGAGGGTAAGTAATAGTGGCAGGGGGAAGTGTAGGTGGTGTATCAGCGGCACCAACATGCCCGATCTCACCTTCCTGCTGCGGGGAATGAGGTTGGCATGTCAAGGTCTACGTTCGAACCATAATAGTAAGTCATACTGGCAGATGACTGCTGGTGTGAGGGGCACCCACCACCTCACCTTGGCGTAATCCCCATTACTTATTAAGTTCGTTAGAAATTCATCGCAGCTGTCCTGATTCATTCCAACCATCTGGAGGCTTCAACCAGAAGTTATCAGCCTCGGGGATTTTAGTCGGAAAAGTTTGTGAGAGTTATATAAACTTTGCTCATTCATCACTTATTTTAGGGGAAAACATTTTCACCTTCCGACAACGAGGTGAAAAGGGTTACTAGTTCCGCCTTATATATATATCTCTCTCTCTCTCTCTCTCTCTCTCTCTCTATATATATATATATATATATATATATATATATATATATATATATATATATATATATATATATATATATATATATATATATATATATGCTGATAACCACAAGGAAAAAGAAAACACGAAGTTCCCAAGCGCTTTCATGTAATTCACATCTTCAGGGGTGAGTACAGACTAAGGAGAAGTACAAAACAAGGTGTATATTATTATTATTATTATTATTATTATTATTATTATTATTATCATTATTATTATTATTATCATTATTATTATTACATTTTCGCCCCCTGGGCCCCGATGTAGGTCAGTGACCTGTGCCTGTGATAATCCCCGTAAAAAAAGAAAAAAGAAAAAAAGAAAAGTAAAAGTATTTTAATGATCAATATACCATTACTCAAATTCATGTTGACGGATTCGGTATGAATTTGAGTAATGGTATATACAAACTGGATAATTTCGTAATTAAGAAGATTTGTAACCAGGTGAGAAGGTTTGGTCACCTTACCCTCTGACCTGACTACCAACCGTTGCGGTGCTTTTTAAAGATTAGTATGGTCATTACCTAATACCTGACCATTGTGGACCTGGTCTCACCCTCCTCTGTATATATACACCTTGTTTTGTACTTCTCCTTAGTCTGTACTCACCCCTGAAGATATGAATTACACGAAAGCGCTTGGGAACTTCGTGTTTTCTGCTTTCCTTGTGGTTATCAGCATACTGTATACCTGGATCACGCGCACCTACAGTGATTTACTTATCTTTCTACATAGTCCCAGAGGAAAAAATATCTTTTATTTTTCACAATAAAAGTTTAAAATCTTTAAGGTCAGTTATAATCACCCGGCAGAGAGAGCACACACGATATACACTATATAATACGAGTATATGGTATACATTTAATATTTAATATAAATATGTGTTTGTGTGTGAATAAAATGAAACGTAGCAGACAGGTTGGACGTTGACCATAGTTGATTAGATCCAATTTTGGATTATAATTATAATTTAAAGGTTACAAGTGACGCCACACCCTCCTCTTGGGTATTGTTACGACGGTCGTATTATGGTGATGTGTATTGTTCTTAAGGTTTTGATATTACACACACACACACACTATGTCTGTCTGTCTGATTTTTAAACATCATATTGATAGTTCATAGTTACATTTACTAGTAAGTTAATCAATTTCAAGATTGGAATACTTCTTGTACAAGTCAAAATCTAATTAAACTAGACTTTGGTACAGGTGGGGTAGTTCACGTAGTACTCTCTCTCATATGTGTGTGTATGTGTGTACACATATTCTTCAGAGCAACCAGTAGTTAAATGAATATGTGGAACGTCTTAAAGTTAGTTTTCACTCATCGGTCCAGACTCACACACTGGTATACTGAACATGACAGTTCGGGTTTCTATTATGTTCTGTTATTATTACGCTCAGCAATACCAAGTAAGTCCGCCATTATCAAGTTAGTGACAGTGACTTACACACGAATTACACCGGATATTAGAAACCATTTTCTTATGAGGTTTGTCAGTAGAGTTGGATTATTGGGTAGTGATGGAGAAGTGGAGTTAGTCGTTGTTCCCTCGTGATGCTGTGATCAGAAATGTCAGTAGTTAGGGCAAGCTAGTACAGGAAACACACACACACACACACACACACACACACACACACACACACACACATATATATTCTGTGTGTGTGTGTGTGGCCGTGTACATCAGTAGTTTGTTTGTCGATGTGTTTGTCAACTTGATGGAGAATGTCACAAACAAATTATATTTCACTCATTAATATATTATTTCAGTCACGATTTCTTGGTGTTGTCGGAGTGAGAGTGTTGCGGGGAACACTTCTGTACACTCATTAGCCACAGTGAGACACTAGTGTATAGAATGCTATTTTTATTAGGAATATAACTAGGTGCGTTAATATCTACATCTTGGTAGTTACTATATGATACACATAGTATTACAATGTATAATAATAGGTTATATGTCTGATATACAGTGTATGATATGCGTTACAGTAGACATCCAATATAGTCATAACAATGAGTCCTCGTTAGAGATAATTAACTGGCAGTTCTTTAGGGAGTATTGACGTCCACGGTACGGGCTACAGGTGGGTAGACTGCTGGTGAGGGGTGTGTTGTCAGGAGGCTGACACAGGGATCAGCGAGGGGTGTGTGTTGTCAGGAGTCTGACACAGGGATCAGCGAGGGGTGTGTGTTGTCAGGAGGCTGACACAGGGATCAGCGAGGGGTGTGTGTTGTCAGGAGTCTGGGACACAGGGATCAGCGGGGGTGTGTTGTCAGGAGGCTGACACAGGGATGTGTGTGTTGTCAGGAGGCTGACACAGGGATCAGCAGGGGTGTGTGTTGTCAGGAGGCTGACACAGGACTCAGGAGGCAGGGATGGGGTGTGTGTTGTCAGGAGGCTGACACAGGGATCAGCGAGGGGTGTGTGTCAGGAGGCTGACACAGGGACAGGGGTGTGTGTTGTCAGGAGGCTGACACAGGGACAGGTGTGTGTTGTCAGGAGGCTGATGTGTGTCAGGAGGCTGACACAGGGATCAGGGGTGTGTGTTGTCAGGGCTGACACAGGGCAGGGGTGTGTGTTGTCAGGATGACACAGGGCTCAGGAGGCTGACACAGGGTTGTTGCTGACACAGGGATCTCGAGGGGTGTGTTGTTGTCAGTGTGTGCTGTCACTGACACACGGGCTAGTGAGGGGTGTGTTGTCAGGTGTCTGACACACGGGCTAGTGAGGGGTGTGTGTTGTCAGGTGTCTGACACAGGCTAGTGAGGGTGTGTGTTGTCAGGTGTCTGACACACGGGCTGAGGGGTGTGTGTTGTCAGGTGTCTGACACACGGGCTGGTGAGGGTGTGTGCTGTCAGGTGTCTGACACACGGGCTAGTGGGGTGTGTGTTGTCAGGTGTCTGACACACGGGCTAGTGAGGGGTGTGTGTTGTCAGGTGTCTGACACACGGGCGTTGTCTGACACAGTGATGTGACACACGGGTGAGGGGTGTGTCAGGTGTCTGACACACGGGCTGTCAGGTGACACACGGGCTGGTGAGGGGTGTGTGTGTGATCGAATAAGTGGACTGTACAGTATTTCGAAAAATATAACTCACTATATGTCTACTGAAGACTTGAGTAATGTTCAAATATGGGGTTTGTGTGTGTACTGTTGGGTAACGAAGTGAAGAAGCTTGGGACGGGAGGAAGGTGGTGGAGGTGTGGATAGGGGTGCTGTGTGGAGCAGGACACGTAAGCTCTAGAAGGACTGGACTTAACTGCCGTGTTGGACGGGCTTGGGTTGAGCTTCTTGTTGTGGCTGGTGTTGAGCAGGCCTGGGTCAACCTACACTTTATAAACATGGTGATAGAAAAGAAGCCGCGTTCAATAAAGGTGTGAGCTTTGGGCAGAAGTGAACACTTTTGGGGGGGGGGTTAACAAAGTGAAAGAAAATTTAAGAGACTAATCGAAGCCTTGAAGGTTTGAATGGGGCTAAACTGAGGCTTAAAGTTTGGATACCAGCGAACAAAACTTCCAGGGCTTGGGCCTATTGAAAATTTTGAATAATTTTCATGAGGCTGAAGAAAATTAAGAAAGCTTGAGTGGGGCTATACATTGCTTCAAGGACTTTAAATTTGGGGGATTAAACAAAGCTTAGAGGACGTGGAAGGATAAACGAAGCCGTCAGGTCTTATGTAGGGATGAACAAAGCTACTTTATGTTTCATATAATTTAATAGTAAACCAAGTGTACAGGACTGTGGTAGGCAGAGTGCGTGAACAGAACTACTGTACGTGGGTGAGGCTGAGTAGAGCAGTGAGGTGCTTGTGTAGGTAAAACAGAATTAGAGAAGATAGAGTGTGGGCTCAAGAAAACTAAGCTTTGATGAGACTGAACAAAACTACATAGGTTTACGGTTAAGCTTAGGAGAACATGTCAGGGGTTCACAGTAGGTAAGATATTGACTTTGGAACCTGTGTGTATATTTATGTAATGCGACGATTGTGGTGTGTGTTTGGGCCACAAAAATCCAGGTGTTTTGGGAAAGATATACTGTACATCTCTCCAACACCTGAAAATTATTCAAGTTAAAGGTCAGGGATTGAAAGGTGGCATAACACGGATTGTTTGGGCCGGAGACACCCTGTAAACGTCTTCTTTACGCGCTTGCGCTCAAACATACACAGGGTCCAAAAAATGGTATAGTGACTACTTTAAACCCCTTGTTTGACCCCTAAGTGAAAGTTCTATCAGACTAGTGGTTAGTTAACACAGCTACGTTTGTTTAGTGAGATTGAACAATTAGGATTTAAGAGGCTAGACGCGTGTGTTTCACAGTTACCATGGGGTGTACAGGCTTGACCCATCGAGACTGATATCGGTGAAAAACTGCCAGACATATGAAAGAGTAATTACTGTATGCACTCGCTGTAGGCTTATGTAATATATCCATTACTATCATTCTCCACATGTGGTCATATCTTCTTCACTACCTTCAGTCCACCTGGTCTCGTTACCATCAGGTTAGGTGTAGTTTAGAAGCATTATTTATTGCTCCAGTGTTGAGACCACACCTTCGCTTGTGTAAAACCTTTTTTCAACCCATTTCATTCACATCACAGTTTGGTAGCCGTGGCCGGGCTCCACCGCCATGCAGCTGTTGAATGTACATTACTCATCTGTCCACACGGACAAGGCTTTTGGGTGCCCGCATTAACCCACTATTTGTAATCTGTCAACCACAGGACTTTGATATACTTTTTGGAAATATTCTTGTTTTTCCAACTACTCCATTACACTAAGATACTAACTTACTAACGTGATCCGTGCTGTAGTGAATAGTGTACTCTCTACCTAGTGAATTTACCTATCCTCACCCAGCCTCAACATAGACCTGATATCCTAACAAACTTGCCTCTCGTGTGGCTCACACCGCTAGAGCTGGATATTTTTTAACTTGCTCTCTGACAGCATGTCCTGAGTCCCGAGGTTACTACATAGACAGCATGTCATTACTGGTGACTGATCCCTTCTGTTAAGCCTCCATCCCCTTGGTGAGTCGCCGGATGGGAACTAGTCGGCCAGAGCCGTCTACCACGTCCTATCCAGTATAAAGTGGAGAAAATCCTAACGCCAGAGCAAACACAGATCCTGGTAGCTGCCACAGGTCGCTTCTTTCCAGTATTGGGTAAGTCAACCACGAGAAGTGCTCCCAACAGACGTCGAGGAGTTGTAGGTCATGGTGGTGGGTGTGAAGGAGTCGGGTGTGGGGACCCTGGCTGGATGCTCACACAAACTCGATGGAGTAGTCGGCGCTGAAGCCCTTCACGTCCACGGCGTATTTGTTGTCTGCCTGACACTCATAGTAGCCGGCGTCCATCTGAGTGGCTGGGTCGATCTCCATCTTGCTTTTGATGGACACCTTGCCTTCCTTCCACTCATGCACCTGTGGACATACAGCTCATTACCTTTATGATTTAGGTGAACTTATGTCACTATGACCTAAGTTTTGGTGCCAAACACCAAAGTGCTCTAAACAATCTCGTTGTGCACAACATTTGCAGTCTTGGCTGACTGATTCTGGGATATTTGACTAATCTCGACGTTTCCTGGATACTAATAGTACAGGGAAGCAATTCATAATTTGTTTGTACAGTATATCATAGAATAACCGGAAAATTAATTTACCTTTAGAAAGTTATACCAATATTATGTATACTGTATAGTGTGAACGTCTCTACGGTGACAACACGCCACATTTAAGTACCTTGTTCACTCGTGACGTTATAGGAAAATTAAGTGGTGTATTGTTCAGATATTATACGTTAACAGTGTATGTTATAAACCCAGTAAGTGGTCTGTAAGTGTGTGGTGGTTTACGGCACAACAAACATTTATATCTTGACACACCCATCATTGTTTTGCTACTGTCATTTTAAATCCCATTTTTCTTCATCCAACTGTAGATCACCTTTGTGTAAAATTACAGAAAACAAAGTACATAAAGTTTTTATAAACATTATGGGAAAATGGTAATTAATTATAAAGACTTTGATCTCGAAATTTAAAACAAAAATGGTGAATTTCAGATTTTAAAATTACTCTCATATGAAAACTGTTCATTAATTAGTCAATTAATAGGGCTGGAAAGGTTATGATTGGTCACATTACCTTAAGTTATACATGGACTAAAATATAATTCTGACTTTTGTCCACTCCTCTACTATACAAACTAACTAAACATTAAACAAGTGACAATTTGGCCGAGTGTAAGAATTAGAGTAAAGTGACCGATTTCTCTCCATTTTTCACCGAGAATTGTTTACTGTGTGGGTAAGATTTAACGTTGGACAAGAACACCTTCCTTTCTTTTCCTTCGTCTATCGGTATTACTGAGATATACTTCAACTGGCTCACAATGATACCCTTTCCTGGCTCGAGGAGGATCTTTGACATGGTTGAAAATCCCTTTTCGGGCAGTGAGACTGACCTGGATGTGGGTAATGTCTCAGCGGGCGGATATTGTTGTAAATTCTAGCCAGGGAATGAATGGTAAGTGTGCAGAGGAAACGTTTTTATTGGTGCACACACTCGCCTAGAAGTGGTAATGTCTATAAAATAGAACCTAGTGATTATTCTAAAGACTGAGCAAGTAATGGCAATGTCTTTGGGTGGAACCTAGAATGATGCAAAGATTGACTGGTAATAGTAACAGTTTGTAGCTGGAACCTTGTGATTTGTGTTGAGCCTGACCTTGAAGTGGTAAAGTGTGTGCAGTAGGAGCACTTCACCTGTGTGAGGACTAACCTGGAAGAATGAATGGGCGTAAAGCTCGATGCCGTCCTTAAACCAGGTGATGACTGGACGAGGTTCTCCCTCAGCCTTGCACATGAAGACAATCTTGCGGCCCAGTACATACTCCGACTCGAAGTGAGACCAAATTGTGATCTTGGCACCCTGCGGACCATCCAGAGAGTTACGCCAAAATATCAAGTTCCTTCTACGTCTCTATTAATATATTTAAATAAGGGAATATATTGTTTTATATGAATGTGTTGTAATACAGAGACTAGACATAACTTGAATGGTGGAATTAAATGACACGACGAGAAAGATAAAGAGAACTTAAGAAAGTGAAAGGAATAGAGAAACAACTGTAAAGATGGTCCATGTGTGGTGTAGCGGTCGGTCTAGAGGTAACTAAGATGTACTGTACTGTACTTTACCCACTAGTGGATAACGTACAGGATGGGTATGTACAGTCTCGTTCATGATTCTTCGAACACTGCTGGAGACAGCTGGCAACTCAAGGCCGTTTGTTTACTATAGTACGCAGTAAAAATTATGATAAATGTAAAAGTGATCGGTGATTGGTTACTTAGTTCCCCGTTGCTTAATTAATGGTTGGGCTTTGCTGTTTCGTATTATATTATACTACGTACTTTAGTAAACAAATGGCCTTGAGTTGCCAGCTGTCTCCAGCAGTGTTCGAAGAATCTTGAACGAGACTGTACATGTGGGTGATCAATGGTTCTGAACTGCACATTGTAGTTATGTTTTACTTATAATAGAGTATAAGTAATTACATCTTGACAATTCCACCAATGCAGTATCTTAAATACTCGTAGCATTGTATTGGTTATATTGTCGTAAATAAAACTGATGGTTTTATAGAGATATCGGTTACGATTATTAAATTTTTCCTCGGCCATAAACTTATTAATATGCATGTATAAGTTAGCTAGAAAATGGAAGATAACAATTATTATGCACACAATAGTATATTTGTTATTTTCCCACAGTGTGACACAGATTGCTGTGCTGTTCACTGTTATAACAGACACCCACTTTTGCTTTTCATTATTATTATTATTATTATTATTATTATGGATTTTATTATATAATATTTATAATAATAAATTATATTCATATTGACATTTATAAGGCAGCAAGTATGAGTTAGTAGTTTGTTACTTTATCAGGCGCTGGTACTAGTTAATTACTAACTTAAGCCCGACGACCGACTCAGCAGTTGTTGGTTTCTGTCTTTCTGTGTGTGTGTGTGTGTGTGTGTGTGTGTGTGACAAACGAACAGACCGCTTTCGGTGGGTCGAATGTTGGAGACATTTTGTAAAGGTTAGTTATTGTTCAGTGTTGGAGGTGACAGTAAGAGTGGTGGTCGAGGCTGGGGTTGATGACCACCCTAGTTGCTGGCGAGGAAGATATGACCATGTCAGTGACACAGTACAGACCAAACCTTCTCTGACATGATTTTATGAATGGAGTCTGTTGACTGTTCGTCATTAATGTTTTCTTAGCGTGAGATTAGCGTGATGATGTATGCCGAGGGTGTGTCCGTGCCGACTTGTTGTGAGTGAGTCTCTGTACGTCGACATAAATCCTGCAAGCAAGAAATGTCGTTTATTATAAATACCAAATATTAATAACAGTATTTGTTCTCTTGAATAACTGGATTACATTCAAGCGGTTTTATAGTAAATTATATGATAACCTTTCTACGGTAACCACAGCGTTCAAAATGCCACGACCAGGAGAGCAAGACTGTTGCTAGCTAGACGGTATTTGTCGTTAACAAATGTTTTATGTTTTTATGTTAGTTATATATCATTAACCCTTTGAGACGTAAGTTGTTTAGTGAAGACGAGTGGTTACTCATTATTTCTCTACATATTCAGAGTATAAGAAACAGCCATGTGTATTTGTGAGCGACTACAACTAGTCAGTCAGTAGTGTTGAACCTCATCCAAGTTCTGAACAGCACCTATCTTGTTGTCAGAGTCAGTGGCCTCAGACGTCACGGACGACGCCTGGTCGTCTGACAACATATAACGGAGCTCTTAACAAAAACTTATTAATAGTTTCCCTAAAAGAGGAGGCGGCTAAGGTATCATCTTGGGTAGTGGCGATCGTCGCTCTTGATCAAGTGAGTCCGCACTCCTCCCAAGTAATTATTTTCTTTGCTCTTATATCTCGCTCTAGCTCTAATCTATGTTGCTGGTGCTCGCGTTGGTGATTGAAAATATTCCTACGTTAAATTTTACTCCTAAAATGGAGAATTTATAATCCGTCTACCGCGATTATTTAAGCTTTAGCGAGAGGATAATGACTTTTTTTGGGGGAGGGGGGGCACTCCCCTACATCCTTGTGTAAGGTGAAGCGCAGAAGAGTTTACAGTGCCCAACAGGGAAGCATGCTAAGTTCATGCTTGCCTTTATGTCTCATGAGTTAAGGGCGTAGAAGCTTGAAGAGTCAAGGGAATAGAAGCCTGAAGAGTCAATGGTTTATGTCAAGTTATTGGAAGCTCCAACAACTTGTCCCTGAATACGAATTCGCATCTTTCGATTTACACCAGGTACCTACTTTACTGCTAGGTGAACAGGGACTAATGGGGGCTAGGAAGTATGTCCAAACAACTTCCACCGGCCCGAGAATCGAACCCGTGACATCTCGCTTGCGAAGGCAAGAGCGGTACCACTCAACTACCAGCACCCCCAATGGCGAAAATACCTCCAACTTATACAGACTCGGTCATAAGTAGATAGGTTCTTTCATCCCATGTTAAAATTGGAATAGTTAACCTGCTAATTTTTGAGAATTGGAATCCAGTTTGGCAAGAAAAAATGGACTCAAATTTAAGGCAGCTTATTGTTATATTAGTAACATACTGTTGTTTGTTATTCCGGCTGAGTGTTTTACTTTTTTTTTCTACAGCTCATAGTTGCAGCAGCCATTGACGGATGGCAGTAATACTCTGCGACGATTTTTTTAACTTAACCAGAAATCCTGTTTGAGAATAAAGCAAAAGATATGAATAGCAACCTAACCTAACACCGCCCTAACTCACACCACCCTAACCTAACACCGCCCTAACTCTCACCACCCTAACCTAACACCACCTAACCTAACACCGCCCCGCTCACCACCCTAACCTAGCACCCTTTCTTTCCACCCACCTAGCCTAGCACCCTAGCTAACATCTTTTCTTCTTTGCTCCACCCTAACTCCACACCTAACCTGCTTGCCACCTGGCCTAACACCACCCTAACCTAGCACCACCCTAACCCCTGCTTTGCCTAACTCACAGCCGCCTAGCTTCTTCCCTAGCCTAGCACCACCCTGGCTGCACCACCCTAGCTTCTTTGCCCTAGCTCCCAGCCGCCCTAGCCTGCTTGCCACCTTCTTCTGCTTGCTTGCCACCCTAGCCTAGCACCACCTGCTTTACCCCTTGCCACCCTAACACCCACCTAGCACCACCCTTTAATCTTTCAGCACCACCTATTTCCACCGCCCTATCTAACACCACTCTGTCTAACACCACATATCCTAGCACTACCTATCTAACTCCACCTATCTAACACCACCTATCTAACACCACTCCTTCCTAACACCACCCTATCTAACTTTCCACTCTGTCTAACACCACCTATCTAACACCACCTATCTAACACACTCTATACTTTACCTATCTAACACCACTCTGTCTGCTTACCACATATCTGCTTACCACCTATCTAACACCACTCTGTACAACACACCTATCACCCTCTGTCTAACACCCACATATGCTATACCTATCTAGCTGCCCTTATCTGTACTCTGTCTGTACCCTATCTAACACCTCTGTCCTAACACACATATCTAACACCACTCTGTCTAACACCACCCTATTTAACACTACACTATACTACCCTTCCCTTTAACACCACCCTATCTAGCTCACCTATCTAACACCTCTGTCCTAGCACACCTATCCTATTGCCACTCTGTCTAGCACCTGTATCCTGCTCACCTATCTAACACTACCCTTGCTAACACTACCCTTGCTAACACCACCCTATCTAACTCCACCCTATCTAACATCACTCTGTCTAACACCACCCTATCTAACACCACTCTGTCTAACACCACCTTATCTAACACTACCCTATCTAACACTACCCTTGCTAACACCACCCTATCTAACACTACCCTATCTAACTCCACCCTATCTAACACCACCCTATCTAACACCACTCTGTCTAACACCACCCTATCTAACACCACTCTGTCTAACACCACCTTATCTAACACCACCCTATCTAACACTACCCTATCTAACACTACCCTTGCTAACACTACCCTTGCTAACACCACCCTATCTAACTCCACCCTATCTAACATCACTCTGTCTAACACCACCCTATCTAACACCACTCTGTCTAACACCACCTTATCTAACACTACCCTATCTAACACTACCCTTGCTAACACCACCCTATCTAACACTACCCTATCTAACTCCACCCTATCTAACACCACCCTATCTAACACTACCCTATCTAACACCACTCCTATCTAACACCCACTCTGTCTAACACCTCACCTATCTAACACTCACTCCTATCCAACACCACCTCATCTTAACACTACCCTATCTAACACCAATTCTATCTAACACCACCCTATCCCACACACTAAACTCTATCCGCAACACACTACCCTATCTAACACTCAGCCCTATCTAACACTACCCTTTGCTAACACTACCCTATATCTAATACTCACCCTTTACACACTACACCCCATCTAACATCACACCTTACACCACCTTTACCTAACACTACCCCATCTAACACTCACTCCCTATCCAACAACACCACCCTATCTCACACTACCCTATCTAACACTACTCCTATCCAACACTACCCTATCCAACACTACCCCATCCAACACGACCCTATCTAACACCAATTGCTAACACCAATCTTATCTAACACTCTCCTATCTAAACACTCAATTCTATCCAACACTCATCTATATCTAACACCACCTCATCTAACACTACCCTCATCCAACACCACTCCATCCAACACTCATCTTGTTCCACCACTACCCTATCTAACACTACCCTTGCTAACACTACCCTATCTAACACTACCCTTGCTAACACTACCCTATCTAACACTACCCTTGCTAACACTACCCTATCTAACACTACCCTTGCTAACACTACCCTTGCTAACACTACCCTATCTAACTCTACCCTATCTAACACCACACTTGCTAACACTACCCTATCTAACACTACCCTATCTAACACTACCCTATCTAACACTACCCTTGCTAACACTACCCTATCTAACACTACCCTATCTAACACTACCCTATCTAACACTACCCTTGCTAACACTACCCTTGCTAACACCACTCTGTCTAACACCACCTTATCTAACACTACCCTATCTAACACTACCCTTGCTAACACCACCCTAACACCACCTTCTCACTACACCATACTTAGTATATGTAAAATTAGTTTAGTGTTAGTTAAGGTGGTGTTAGTTATGGTGTGTTAAGGTATAGTGTTGTGTGGGCCGTCATTAGTGTATAGTGGCAGGTGATGTTGTCTTGTGGGAGTGTACTGAGAGACACACTTGGCAGTAATTGGTGTCAAGTGTGTGAAGACTTTTTCGCCCCCATGAATCTCTTAACAATAGTGAGACAGAGTGTTTTTGGCTCTCTCGAAGCTTGTTTTTGTTTATTTTTATTTTTGGGTTTTTGTTTAAGTCTCGATGTATGTGTGTGTGTATGTGTGTCTGTGTGCGCGCGCTTGTTTAGATACGTTTATGAGTACGAGTTTGTTTGCACTTGTGCGGGTGTGTGTTTGTGTAGCGCGTTTTAAAGGTGACAGTCTAAGAAAGAGGAAACAGAAAGTCGTGAGAAAATATTCTATGCTACACTTTAATGTGTTTTATCAGGAGTGTGACGTAACAGACGTATTAACAGCTGGTGTTGAGTTTATTGGTACAGTGTTGAGTATTATGGTACAGATAAAACATTCTTATTGATGATAGACTTTCAATCAGCCGTCAGTTATATCACAGTTATATCACAGTTATATCACAGTTATATCACAGATCTTGTGCAAACATTTTCTAGTGATCACTTAGGTGTCCGTGACTTACGAGCCGAGCTTAACACTATAGTTCATGGTGCAACTAATTTGACAGATAGTGTGTTGCTGACTAGTTACGTGGTTAGTTATTATCGATGATGATGTCTGGCTAATTTTCATTTTATTGGACTATATAGTTTCAAGAAATATATAGGAATATCCTGAAAATCTTGTGTAAATAAGGCGGGCAAACGATATTGGTCTTCCTAGAGGTGGTCACTGTCAGTTATGGTGTGGCTGTTGGCAGCTGGAGGATGGGTCGTTGTCACACCTTTACTGCTAAACTTTATACCAATACTTTGTTACATCTTGTTAATCAACAGTTCGCTATCCCCTTTTAAAAGGGAGGTATTCCATTCTTGATCTACTGTCTTTTTTACCTTAAACGACCAATATTTCCCAACTTCATGTTATCATCCATATCAAGTATGGGTGAACACAGTTGTCTACAGTTTCCTCACTTATTATTGTAATGGAAGAAGTTTGTGATAACGGGATAAGTACAATGCAGTAATCTGTACCTGAAGTCGAGTGGTACAGTCTCGTTCAAGATTCTTCGAACACTGCTGGAGACAGCTGGCAACTCAAGGCCGTTTGTTTACCATAGTACGTAGTATAATATACAGTAATACGAAACAAAAAACCCCAACTATTTAATTAAGCAACGGGGAACTAAGTAACCATTCACCGATCACCTTCACATCTATTCATAATTTTTACTATGAACTATAGTAAACACAAACGGCCTTGAGTTGCCAGCTGTCTCCATCAGTGTTCGGAGACTGTACATGTGTCTCTCCCCTCGTATGTAAAAAAATCGTGCATTGACAGTTCATGAGTACTTGGGATGACATGACTCGTCGATGAAGTATTTATTCATTTGAAGTATGAGTTCAGGCAGTATGAACTCTGATATCTTCGTAATGAAAATGTGACACATGATTCTAGCCCTTCATGACTCGGCAACTCATGTCTGGTGTTTTTGATAAGATATATTTGTTCTGGACCGAAAAAATTATTTGAATAATATACTGTAAGGAGTAAGAAACAGGTGTTTGTTCCATTATGCTGACAGCTTAATGCATACTCTAGAGGAGGCAGGGGGACGGTTATGGTGGTGACCATCTTGTGGATAAGACCACAAGTATAAGAGAGGAACCCAACACAATGATGACTACTCACACCTGTCCCCTCACCTTTATGCCATTCAATATGTACACATGAACTGTAGGGACGCACTGCCCGCTTGAGACTTGATCATTATTTCATCTAAGTCATTATTAATATAGGTAATGCAAGGTAAGATAGACCCCTCGTCCTGCCTCCAAATATTGTTTTCTAAATGTTTCTTTCTTGTTACAGGTAAGGATGACCGTGACCCAGGCGAGAGGTTGTGAGTACCTTTATTTTGTGTTCTTCAGTCAGTTATGGTCAGTGTTCTTAATGTCACCCATGCTGAGTCTGTGGGTAGGGGGTGTTTGTAGGTGGTCTTACAATTATGGATGCATTTTGTTGAGACTTATTAGTACGTGTCACCTCACCCACACGACGATGAGTGTTTCGTGCAGGTACAGTGTCAGGTTCACAGTCACTACCCGAGAGCTCCACTGTGCTTTGTGTCATACAGTAGTTGTTATTATTATTATTATTATTATTATTATTATTATTATTACACAGTGCTACTCATGCACTCAGCTATTCTCTCACACAAACAACGCAACACAACACAACACAACACAGTAAAGTCAATACCAGTAATCGGATTGTCGTGCAATAAAAATTTTGGGTTTGTTATGTGTAAGCTCCATTGTTCTGTCAGAAAAGCTCCCTTGGTCTGTATATTTTTCCCAATATGTTGACTTAATATTACAGTACGTTGTGTTAGCGTTCAGTGTTATCAACTTCTTGCGTCTTCGTGTGGGGAAGGGTGAGTCTTTCGGTGTATATACTGTAGATATTGTTGTGTGTGTTTTCCTGGTGCTTTTCCCTTTAATTGAACTGTGTTACTTTGATGCTAAATGAACCTACAGTGACCAGTGAAACTACAGTGGTTATTGTGTCTTTGTTCACGTAAAAATATGTGTGTGTGAGTGTGCTTTATGGAAATGTGATGTAAGAAAGGCTTGTTTTGTTTTAAGGTAATAAGTATAAAAAAAAACTCTTGCAAAGTAGTGTGTTTTGACGTACAGTATATCAAGTATTAGGAGTACTGTTGATAACTTGAATCGTGTTATACCTACACACATTAATTAAGTCACGAGGTACAAGTGGAGTGAAAGTGAAGCCTCTGGTAATTGAGTTAGGAATGAGATGGATGTCACTTACGCCATTGTGGTTGTAGTAGGCTCGGCTGTCCTCAGATTTGAACTTGGTGATGCTGCCTCGGTTACTCATGTTCTTGCGTCCTTTCTTGCCGCGGCCTTTGCCCCTCTTGCCTTCGGTGACGCCCACGCTCACCACCAGCACCAGCAGCAGCACCACCCACGCCCAATATGCCTTCATGATGATGCCGCTTGTGCCACGATCACCTCAGGGCCATACACCTGCCGGCATGACACATCGTTACACACTGTCTTAACATACAGTATAACGTGGCCTTACCTGTACCTCCATTACCATCACCATGTTCACCTGGAGTTAAGTGGGTTAGTAGAGGGTTTAAATGTTATTGAGAGTATAAGGACATTGAACTGTAATAAAAAAATTAAATTTGTTGTTAAGCATTATAAATGATAGTGGTTGTTCTACTTCCTTAAGTCGTGGTAGACTTTTCCTGGAGCGGTACGATCAATATATAGTAAATTCTGGTCGATGTATACGGCATTTTTGCTGAATGTTTACATAACTAACCCATGGCAGTGTAGAGTCTCCTCAGTTCATAGGGGTTGGGTGTAAACGGGACTGCCCAGTATGGGCCAATAGGCCCGCTGCAGTTTCCTCCATTCTTATGTTCTTATGTTCTTAGGTCTTCCAATACTCACACTGCACCCTTCCAGTCCTTCCCCTCGTAAACCCAGGATTGAGTGAGTACTTATTCATGACTGGTGTCACTTGTCATGAAAAGTACTGTCAGAACAACAATATGAGACACACACGTCGGAGACATTCCCGGAGGATTTCATGTGTTGAAAGTGAAACAGAAAATGGAAAAAATGAGTAACAGAGATATTGAAAGAAGTAGAGTGAGTGTTGGCAGGAGTCCAGCAGCTGAATGGGTCACACTTATACATGTCTACTATCACACTACCCTGGTCCCACTCTTGATCGTATCACCACTTCCCATTTCAATGACAGGCATCGAGTCTTTGTCCACTCCGACGCCCTCTGAATATTGTTGTTATATGGATATTATTCACCAGGTGTGTTCGGATGTTTGTCTTAGCCTAGCCCAGACTGCCAACCTTTGCCAGCTGTTTCTTTTAAGCTTAACCAGGCTTGTCTTTGGAAACCTAATTGTTGTGGGTCGAGTACCAGGATAGTGCCTTTCGCTTTGAGGCTCGTACAACCTTTCACATACTTAGTGTAGAAAAGAATGTTCACAGCTGGATACGACATAAGAAAATGCTATTTAAAAATTCCATTATCATCAACACAATAATATCAAAGCTTTGTTTATTTGTGGTGTGTATGGACAGTTCTTATTTTACACCAATTAATGGGGTTTCAGCTGGCCAAAAATATCACAAATCCATTGGAAAACACACATGTGATTTTATAGGGGAACCACTTACACGAGTCTAGATATAACATTAATGTGTGTTACTAGGCCCTGGCGGTGTTGTCCTGGTCCACGTACTGCTGGTGTTGTGTGTCAAGCCTACACCACACCCCCTCATCCTGACCCTCATCCTGACCCTCATCCTACAATACCTTCATCCCATACTACAATACCCTCACCCTCATCCTACAATACCTTCATCCCCTACTACAACACCCTCACCCTCATCCTACAATACCTTCATCCCATACTACAATACCCTCACCCTCATCCTACAATACCTTCATCCCATACTACAACACCCTCACCCTCATCCTACAATACCTTCATCCCATACTACAACACCCTCACCCTACAATACCTTCATCCCATACTACAATACCCTCACCCCTCATCCTGCAATACCCTCACCCCATACTACAACACCCTCACCCTCATCCTACAATACCTTCATCCCATACTACAACACCCCTCTACCCCTCATCCTACAATACCTTCATCCCATACTACAACACCCTCACCCTCATCCTACAATACCTTCATCCCATACTACAACACCCTCACCCTCATCCTACAATACCTTCATCCCATACTACAACACCCTCACCCTCATCCTACAATACCTTCATCCCATACTACAACACCCTCACCCTCATCCTACAATACCTTCATCCCATACTACAACACCCTCACCCTCATCCTACAATACCTTCATCCCATACTACAACACCCTCACCCTCATCCTACAATACCTTCATCCCATACTACAACACCCTCACCCTCATCCTACAATACCTTCATCCCATACTACAACACCCTCACCCTCATCCTACAATACCTTCATCCCTTTCGCTTACCCTCACCCTCATCCTACAATACCTTCATCATACTACAACACCCCTCACCCTCATCCTAATACCTTCATCCCATACTACAACACCCTCACCCCTCATCCTACAATGCCTTCATCCCATACTACCTGTGCCCTCACCCTCATCCTCACAATACCTTCATCCCATACTAAACACCCTCACCCTCATCCCTACCAATACCTTCATCTACATACTACAATACCTTCATCCCATACTTCCTGGCTTCCCTCACCCCCATGCTACAATACCCACTCACCCTCATCCTACAATACCTTCATCCTGCTACAACACCCTCACACCCCCATCCTGCAATACCTTCATCCCATACTACAATACCTCACCCTCTGTCCTACAATACCAACCTACACCCCATGCTACCAATACCCTCACCCTCATCCTACAATGCCTTCATCCCATACTACAACACCTCACCCTCATCCTGTACCTTCATCCCATACTACAATACCTCACCCCTCATCCTACAATACTGTTCATCCCATACCCTACAACACCTCACCTCACCCTACAATACCTTCATCCCCTTCTAATACCCTCACCCCTCATCCTGCATCACCTTCATCCCCTTACCATGCCCTCACCCCTCATCCTACAATACCTTCATCCCATACTACAACACCCTCACCCTCATCCTACAATACCTTCATCCCATACTACAACACCCTCACCCTCATCCTACAATACCTTCATCCCATACTACAATACCCTCACCCTCATCCTACAATACCCTCACCCCATACTACAACACCCTCACCCTCATCCTACAATACCCTCACCCCTCATTTTACAACACCATCACCCTCATACCTCCGACACCTGACACCCGAACCTTTGTTTGTGTTATTGAGTTATAGTTTTGGTCAATCTTAATGACTTAGTATTTTTTGGGGGGTGAACTAGCTGACTGTATAATACGAAACAAAAGACACATGTCACCTGTTTCATGGATTCTTGTTCAATAAATATCAACTCCAGTTCCCCCACCGCCCTCCTTATACACCCCCTTAGACCTTAACAGTTGAACAATAGGAGGCAGAACTGGGGGGCGTGTTTGAAGTTTGGCAGGTAGGGTAGGGCGCCAGACGAGCTCAGACGTGTAACCCAATGACAGACTCTGGATGTTACTGGAACGTGAAGCACCAACACTACTGTATACTGGAACGTGATGCACCAACACTACTGTACACTGGAACGTGATGCACCAACACTACTGTATACTGGAACGTGATGCACCAACACTACTGTACACTGGAACGTGATGCACCAACACTACTGTACACTGGAACGTGATGCACCAACACTACTGTATACTGGAACGTGATGCACCAACACTACTGTACACTGGAACGTGATACACCAACACTACTGTTACCTGGAACGTGATGCAACACTACTGTTTCGCTGGGCAGTGCACCAGCACTACATGCACTGGAACATGATGCCACACACCAATGTATCACAAAGTTGGAACACAGCGTTGACAGACACTACTCGAACACAACACTGGAACGTTGGTTATTGTCTGTCAGTTTAATTTTCGAGCAGCGAGAAAGATGTTTTATTAGCTATTGACTGATGCCAATATATCTTTCACAAATTGCATCGGAAAACAAGAACAACTTTTAATGGAGTATCGAAGGGTGGGGAATTGAGGCGGGGGGGGGAGGGGAAATGAAAGTTTTGTGCAAGAATGAATCAAGTTGACAAAAGTTAGGGTGTGTGCGTGTGGGGGATGGAACCGTGAGAGGAAGGGAGCCGCCCGTACCTTTACACTCTCTTGTCATTGGTAGATACGTTTCTTCAGTTGTAGGTGAGGACGACAGTTATCTAATCATACATACTCTCTCTCTTATATATATATATATATATATATATATATATATATATATATATATATATATATATATATATATAAACTCTACCTCCATCCCTATTTACATCCTCGTTATCACTCTCTTCTCCTTCATCTGTTTCCTCGCTTTCTGTTGCCTACCGTAGTGACCGCGCCCTCCACTCTTGCATGGGTGTGGAACAGCCCGGGGCCCATCACTGTGGGGGGTGGGCTGCAGGGTCCACTGCTGGAGGAGGGGAGCCCTGGGCCCATCACTGTGGGGGGCGGGTGTACATGGGGTCCCACTGCCAGAGGTACATCACAGTCCCTGACTTAATGAACAAGAGAAACACCTCATCTGCTCCCCCCCCCCCCTCCCTCGACCACCCTGCTTTATCCTGACATCTTGGGCAGGTGCAGCGCCTCGCCGTCCCACCCCCACCTCCCCCGGCCTCCCGTGGCTGTTAGGTCGATATTTGGCCAATGGCACGTATCGTAACGACCTCTTTTAACAGCCGGGAGATTGCCGACATCCGGAGCCGCTGAATCCCCCCTCAGCACACCCTCCTACCCCGTCAGCGCCACCAACGGTATTGTGGCTCACTCACCGTGTCCCGGTCTCCTGCCTCAGTCCCTAATGATCCTCAGGTCAGGGTGTGTTCTCCTCGCGGCTTACATTCAACTCCTGCTTTTATTATCATATATTTTTGTGTGGCTTTTGGAATTATTTCGTCGGTTTATCATCCTGTAACAAAATTTGAATTAATAATTCGTTCTGGAATATAATTAATATATTCCAGAACGAATTCTCGAGATATGAAATTATACGCGTCCGTGGCCGCGTCCGTGGCCATTCTTGTGTGTGAATACAATAACTCTTGAAAGGTGGTGTTTTGCCAGCTGTTTTTCTTTCATGAAATCTCTATAAACAGGTTGTCAGCGCCCTTGATATTTAGCCGAGAGATGGAGGCGTTCGGGGATATATAGCGTGTTGGTTATTAATCTAAATCATATACGCGGCGTGTAGTTGTTGTAGAAAACGTCTTGCGAGAGTCAGCAAAACTCTGCAGGCGGGTCGAGTGTGGGGTGGGTGACTGTGTATCC